TATATATATATATATATATATATATGATAGTCTAAATGTATTCTGTAAATTTAATTATATTCGCATATTCAATTATATAATTATATATTTACATAACTTTTTAAAACGTTCTCATACAATATAACAAAGATTACAATGAAGACAATGATAACAATGATCACAGAGATACAGTTTTGTCGATTAAGAACGATGCAGCATCGTACTTAAGAAAGTCATTGCTTTCTCATAATAAGTAGAAGTACATAAGACACTTTTGTGGTTTCACCTATTAATATTGTTTGTAATTTTTGTGGAGTAGAATTTTTTTCTCGCCTGGAGCCTCGCTAGAGCCTGCAATCTCTTTCTTTCGATCTCTTCCGCGGTACACCATGTTGGCTGCGAACCAGCTTTTGTTTTTGTTTCTTGTACGTCGCTTTTCATATTACCAGTAGAATGGTGCTTAACGAAGCGATCACCATCGCCTTTTACAGCGCACCTGTTAACATCGCACCCACGTGTTCGGTCCGTTCCGCGCATTAACGAAATTGCAGTATTCTCGATTTTACGATCATATGTAATAATCGGCCTTGTACTTACGGAAGCACGTGCGACGCTTGTATGTGGTATCGAGCTTCTGGACGAATTTAGATGTGACAATGTAGATTTCGTCGCGTGATACGAGCCATTTATTGTACTTTTATTTATAATTGCATCTCGATTAACGTACTGATCCGATAAGCTTTTAGTTTTAAAGAACTTTCTATTCTCTAAAAAGCTAGTGTTAGATGTCTGAGGCTTCGCCGTGTGCTTAAACGAGTCAGCGGATTTAGATTCTGACTTTAATGGCGCGTAAGTCAAACGTTTATAATTGTCGTGAAATTTCATATCGTCCTTTTTACGGGGCCCGTTAGAATTCGATAATAATTTTTCATCCTCAACACAGGCCGCCAGCCAATCATCAAAAGAATCGTCTGGAAAATCAAATAGATCTATGGTATTACTTTTCACTAGTTTCTTATTGTCACACAGCTTCTGAAAAGGAGGTTGTATCGTATGATTGTTGTTATTTATATACGATTTATGTGTATCAGTATTTCTCTGTATGACGCTATTTGCGCCATGTAAACTAGAGTTTGCATCGCGCTTTAGCGGAAACTTCGAGTATGTCTTTAATATATTACTATAACCTGCGCCTAAAGTACTTTTGGCTGATGTTTCTTTGTTATTATCACTAGAATTAAACTGAAGAGATTCTTTATTAGATATATCATTTGTACAGAACGATTCTTCGTTTTTAATACTTGTCTGTGAGTGCATGGAATTCCCTTTATCTGGAATCAAATTAAATTTCTCCTCCAATTCTTGAGTGCATCTAATTATATCCTCGTCTACGGAATCATCAAATAGATCATCATAACTCCCACTCATTTCCTTTTTGATGGTGTTATGATCTTTGGCTTCTTCAACTTTATTCTGTTCATCATTATTGTCACCATTCTTCTCAATGCTATTTTGCTTATTAACTCGAACTGCTAATTCCTCCTTGTCATTTGTGTTCGTTAATGATAACGTTTTTACCTCCTTAGCGCAATCGATCGAACGATTCTTGTCATTCTGCCTTATAACTTCTACCCTTTCATTTAATGCCTGTAATTCAGCTGCAAATTCTCCAATATTCTCTATGTGTTCCATCTTGATGGCTTTTCGTTTGAGTGGCTTAAATAACAATGGCGAATTCGAATTTCTCTTCCTTTGCAAGAGCTTAGTTCCTTTAGGAGTTTCGCAATGAGCATTTTCGGAATTATGCTTTTTGCTCTTGCTTTCAGGAGTCCTACTCAAAGAACTCTGCCAATCCCACGCAACTTCATTACCACAATCCTGCGTACACAGAGGTAAGATGGGACTCGGGGAATAATCAAGATCTGGAGATTCATCTCCATCCATATTCGCGCTTTGCTTTTTTGCAATTGGTGTGCTCTGGTCAGAGATCAATTCTTCTTGGCAGCTTTGAAGGGAGTTATCATTCTGATTTACTTTGTCGATCGTTGTTATAGATAGGTTTTCTACAATTATGACGTACTATTATTAATAACAGAAGAACTTAACTAATTATAATATAAAATGAAATTGTGTGATTATTACCTTTCTTCACATTTAAATGTGATCTATCAAATCTTACACATCTCATAATTAACTTTTCGGGCTCGTAATTGAAATTTTCAAATTATTTGTCCTATAATAATAAAGTTTTTAATATTGGATGATCAATTCTAACCTGTACTATAGACCGGCGAAGATACAAAATTTCTTTAAGCAAGATTTTTTTTAATTTTAATAAGCAATAATTCCAATTCACATAAGCAGGCATTTAATTAGTATTTCTCAAAAAAGAAACATACTATTGTATATGAACAGATACAAATAGTAGGCTTAAATCTAGAGATGATTTTAAGCACAACAAAGAACGGTGCACTTCACATGCATCTGTGCGATTGCATACACACATTTTTTTTTGCAGACGGCCATATTTCGATTAGTGAAATATTAAGCCTTATATTCACATTAGAAATTGATCAGTCGCGAATGGATCGGTGTTTGACTAGGATCAATTTTTTTCTTTTGTTCGAAATCTCGGATTTATTTCTAGCATGGAAAACAAGGAATTAGGTCCGTTTTACAATACATCGTACATCACTGCATATCTCCTGCTTTTCTATACATTAGAGAGAAAAAGAGGAAAGATACATGATGAGTAGGGGAGCGACCCGTTTGACCTCGTTGCAATTGGACACAACCACTTATAGACACTCATTCCTGGAGACTTTTCATTAGACCAACTACTCAAATTATTTTATTTTAAATTGGCCAATCGACAACGTGAGCAATCGAGCGTCACCCGCATGAGTAGCGATAGTCGCACATGCGCAGGACGAACATATCCCTTTCCCGTCTTGCGAAAATTTTTTAAATTGGTTGATTATACCTGTTTTTCGTTTTGCATCTTATTCCTATTTAATTTTCGATTTTATTTTATTGTTATTGTCTATTGCGAGGATTGTACTTTAGCCCGTTTTGGGTATGCCAAGGCCAATTAAGAAGAAGAAGAAATATATGCTACGTGTTTAAATGTAGATTAGGTTAGGCACGTATTTACATGTATAGGAACACGTACAGGTTGGATACAAGTAGTACGTGAGTTGGTAGTCCGATGTTGGTAGCTACATAAAATTATGTGTGTTCATTAAAACGTTGGCATAAACACGACACGATGGAGGTGACAAATTCAAGTGAGTACGAATGAATAGACAATGTCGATTTTCGATAAAAACGATTATCTCGCTTTTCTAATCTGTGTGTTTTTATAGATTTTCAAGATGTGCTGTGTGAGCTGGAGAGCGTCTTAAAAGATGCGGCCTTTCTCAGTATCGATGGTGAATTCACTGGTCTCAATTCTGGCCCGGATGCCGGTCCTTTTGACACGCCAGCTCAATATTACGCCAAGCTCCGAGCAGGATCAATGGATTTCTTGCTCGTACAATTTGGTTTATCCGTCTTTACATACGATTTACAAATAAACAAGTAAGATATCATCTTGACAAACCGACAAGCCTCAAATACCTTCAAGTATCATTTCCAGAGAAATCTGATAAATAGAACGAATGATCTTTTGTTTTAGATACTCTCAGCGCTCTTACAACTTTTATGTGTTTCCCAAACCGATGAATCGTCAGGCACCAGACAGTAGGTTCATGTGCCAGGCATCATCCATAGTGTTTTTGGCAAATCAAGATTTTGACTTCAACAAGCTTTTCAAGCATGGTATACCATATCTCAGTGCAAACGAAGAGGAGAAGCTCATTAAACGCTTGGAGGAGAAACAGAAACTCAAAGAGGAAAATAATCAAGACTTAATTCCAATATCGGATAATGACAAGCCTCACATAGAGGAGATATGGTAATGTTTGGTTTTGTTTGATTTTTTTTAGCCTAGCAAAGAAGACAGTGTAATTCAAAAAAGATGTGGTTTGCAAATGATGATTTATGCATCAGAGAATATATAACTTATAAATTTTAGTTCTAGAATAGAGAATTTTCTTGCCTCAGATGCAAAAGAGTTGACGATAGACAAGTGCAATGGTTTTATGAGAAGACTGGTATATCAAGAAGCACGGATCAGATGGCCTAACAAAGTGAGAGTTGAAAGTAAAGTTGAAAATACTTGGCAGTGTCTTTTGATACAGAAAGCAGGCACCAAGGAGGAAGAAGAGGAGAAGGAGAAACAGAAACGGGAGAGGGAAAAATTGGAAATTAAACAGGCTGTAGGACTTAGCAGTCTTCTGAAAAAGATTGTAGAATCTGTAAGTTTATAGAATGATTCTTAATTTAATTACTTGTCGAAACTTCAGTGAATTTTTTTTTAATTTTTACAAATGATGCTTTGTTCATATCTGTCAAAATAAGGGAGAGAAATTTTACTTGACTCTATATCTAATAATTTTTCTCTTATACTTTTGATTATATTTAATATTTCATTTTTTTATTTCAGGAAAAGATAATAGTAGGACATAATATGCTGTTAGACCTATGTCATATTATACATCAATTTTTTACACCTTTGCCAAGTGACTATTCAGAATTTAAATCTTTGGTTCATGGCTTGTTTCCTAGGTAAAGTCTAAATGTTTATATATGTATTAGTTTATTCTCAAAATGGACCAATTATTTCATTTTTTAAAAATCTTTAACTTTTTAATCAATCTCATTCCAAAATGTATGGAATATGGATCAAGATTGAATCTAAGACCTGTCAAAATTATAAGTTGATCATTTCCATACAGAATCACGCGTCTATGCAAATATTTATGCTTATCTCATTTTTTTACATTGTTTCGGATTGTATAAAAATCTGAAAAAAATTTTTGTATTTTTATGAAATCTTTATGAAATAACAAATTTTTACTATTGTAGAAGAATTCTTTTTTAAGTGAGAATATTAAATTCCGCAATTTTTTAATTGTTCTAAAATTTTCAAAGAATTAAGTTTTAAAATTTCCCTATAGGTGGAAGGTTAAATTAAGAATGTTAACTTTGAATATTACTATATAATCGCAAAAATTTATTTTTTCTTGTTCTTCAAGTTTATTGGATACAAAAGTCATCTGTCAATCACAACAATTTAAAGAACTTGTATCGTCGTCGAATTTGAACGTATTGTTAGACATTGTAAGCAAGCCACCTTTTTCCGTTCCCGATGTGGAGCCCGTGGAAGGACGAAGTTATTCGGTATCAACAGAAAAATCACATGAGGCAGGATATGATGCGTACATCACTGGATTATGCTTTATTGCATTGTCCAATTATCTTGGTCAGTATACCAGGTACAAATATCACAATCCAGGATAATACCTTTTTTGTCAATATTATTCATTTTGTGTATTCGATTGCATCAAGTATAAGAAATATATTTTGCGGAATAGATAATATATGTTTTCTTTTTTATTTATATTTATTTATATTTCTTACATCAATTATATACATCGATAAATAAAATACATTAATTCATAAATAATTTATTTAATTTTTGCCGATAAGTATTTCTTTGACTGTTGCTCATTTTAGGCACGCTACAAAAGTCTGAGAATGCTACGGTATTAGCGAATTCACCTTTGCTTAATCCTTTTCTCAACAAGTGAGTATTTATTTCAAGAAAATATTAAATAATATTTTATATCGCTATCTATAAAAGTCATTATCATCTAATTTGTTTATTTCCAGATCTAATTTGTTTATTTGTTTATTTATAGACTTCCAATAGCAAGATTGAAAGATTTTCCATACGTGAACCTGACAGGAAAAGATCGTAAATATATTTGATACCATTAAAGAATGATATTATAATGTAATTGTTACTAAAATACATTATTAAATATATCTTTTTCTCTTTTAGCAAATCCTAGCAGAGATCACGTATTTCATTTAACATTCCCTAAAGAGTGGAAACATGCGGACATAAGTCAACTTTTTAGTCCATATGGTGAGTGTTCAATTATACATCGAATAGTAAAATGAAGGATGAAACTTTTTGTATAATAAAATTGTATAAATAATTTTGTATAAATAAAAAATTGGCCCAAGTTATGAAAAAATATATAATGAACTTGCAAATCTTTGTTGTTTTATAGGAGGTGGATATGTTTCATGGCTATCCGACACGTCCGCGTACATTGGTTTATATCGTCGCGATCAAGCCGGTGCCGTAATGACGAACTTGTCCAAGGGAACTATTTGTAAAGTACAAAAATATGCAACGCATCAAGCTACTTTGCAAATTCCATCTGAAGATCGCAAACGGAAGTTGCCACCCGCGTAAGTTATATTATGATAAATTATATTATTGTAACATTTTGCACAATTAATTCATAATTACAAATTGCTTCATTGCTTCGAATGTTAGTTAAAATCAATTTGCAAACAGATTTGTTTACCAAATTTTTTTTACACTCAGAACATTTTCCATTCAATCTTATTGATTCAAGTTTTACAAATCAAAATTGATATATTCTTAAATGAATTTCTGTAGACTGACCAATGTCAGCCAATTTTATTAAATGTTTAGAGAAGAAGAGACTCTCTAAGAATTTATGTGAACACAGATAAATCGTATAGAGCTTTTACGTCACGAATATATATGTACGTTTACATCACGTTGCAATCTTGGAAATTGTACGCGTTCGCGTTCCAAAAAACGAATGGTCTCTATCGCAATTTATTTTCTGCCGCGAGCAATCCCGTTCGTGCGAGATGTATTAAAGGGATGAATAACGCGTTATAGGTATCCGGTATATTCTCCAGGACGAATAGAGAGAAAGAGAGAGAAAGAGAGAGGGAAAACCCTAGGCGGCCTCCTAGGATTTCCTGTACAGGAGAGATTTGCATAGGGCTGTAGACCTTGTTCTGAATTAATGCACGCGACGCTTGCTACAGGCCTATCTAGTTTTCTTGCTCTTTTTCTCTCTTTCCCCCTTCCGCTTCCTCTCGCTCTCTGCCACCTCCTTCTCTTTCTCCACCTCTTCTTCTTGCCTTCTGGTCCGGTTTGCGAAGCAAATCGTCGTCATGTGAGTGACTGGTGTCTTTTACGGGGATTACATTGAATGATGTGTAAGCGTGAAATCGTCGTCCAGCTCGTTTAATATTCTTGGCTCGTTTACTTCTTCTATTCTATTGAGAACCACGATTACACCAAGCTTCCAATTAAATCGCACTTGTTTTTATCCTCTCGGCAATCCTATCTTCAAACTGCTGAACTAACACTTCGATTAGGAAATGCGGAAATTAGATGAACGAAAAATTCCGATGAAAAATCGAAAGAACGTTATTAATTTCTAAAAGCGAGGATTCGCAGGATCATTTTTGGGGGGAGAGGGGGGGGGAGGGGAGAGGAAGGATTTTAGGTTTTTCGCAAACGTTCGTCTCTCGAACACACACGCGGCGGAGTAGTCGCAAGTAGTCAGTCGTGCGCTTAAAGCGGCGCGTCTATGAGAAAGTTCTTAACGAGGCACTGCCGGCCGCGGTAATCAATACACCGGGCACATGTTCCAAGTCAACTGTCGTTAGCCGCGGTCTTCGTCCGCGCCGTGCACGCCGGCGCGTATATACATATATATATATATATATATATATATATATATATATATATATAT